ATAAGAGACAATTTTCTCGGAAATTGACGGTGTTTAATAATTATCCCGTGAAGTAAGGGTGTGTTAGTTCACTGGTATTTCATGGGACTGGAGGAACAGTATTTTAAAGCACATCGCCTGTTCTAGAGGCGACCTACTGTTGGTGTTGGGCCCAATATCGACAAGGTCCAGTTCTAGGCTTGGGCCTAAAGAGAAGATAATGGCCCAGATCCCCCAAAATTGCCATTTTAATTAAGATAATTTAATATAAAAAATACTGTGGCAGCTGTACTATGTAAACTACTTCAGTCAAACTCAATAGCTTTGATCATATTAATAGCCTGTTTGGCCAAGCTTCTAAAATCAGCTTATTTTGAGAAGTGTTTTCTCAAAAGTACTTTTCAAAAAAATATTTTTGGTGAGAAGCAGTTTGTGTTTGGATAATTAATTTGAAAAGCACTTTTGAGCAGTAATTAGTATTTGGTCAAGCTTTTAAAAATTGCTTCTAAGTGTATTTTTCTCAAAAGTGTTTCTCAAAAAAATGCTTTTGGAGAGAAGCTACTCTTTTGTACTTCTCAAAAAATGCTTCTGCTTCTCCTCAAAAATACTTTTTTTTTCCTTCTAAAAGCTTGGCCAAACACCTCAATATTCAAAAAAAAGCACTTTTGGCCCAAAAAAGCTTGACCAAACAAGCTATAAGTAAGTGCTTATAAAAAGTTTACTAATTATGTTCAACTATTAAATTTCGAGCGCAGAATCTCGAACCAGAGTCAAAGTCAGGATTTGAAGTTTATGAGTTCAAGATTCTATTCCTTTTTAAGTTATTGAGTTACAACAACAACAACAACCCGGTAAAATCTCACTAGTAGGGTTTTTAAGTTATTGAGTTCTAAAATAATAATTTGTACATATTTAACTCATTGTTTTAAAGACAAATACATGATTCGAACTAAATTTAGTGGGTTCAGTCGAACCCGTAAGCCATATTGTTGGGCAAACCCAAATACACTCTTCACATGGTGTGACATTGTCTGCTTTGGGCTAAGGCAGCACGTTTTCCTCAAAAGGCCCCACACCATTAAGAGATCCCTACACCTTATATGTGGACTCCTTATCTTTTCAGCTTTCAATGTGGGACTTTGTTTGCACACCCAACAATCTCCCCCTCGAACTAAGTCCCACGTGGCTCACTGCCATAATTCGCGGGTCTCTCCCTCGAACTAAGTTCTATGTGGCCTATTGCCACGATCCATGGGTCAATTTCTGAGAGTAACTGTGTGACACCCACATGTTTAGAGTATTATGGCAATCGAATCCCGCAACTAGCTTCTTCTTGTGTGCGCACCGGCCCACACCATCACTTTGTCATCTTCATACTCGTCCCGCCGAACCTGGGCCGAGATACCAATTGTTGTGCTAAACTAACCCAAATATACTATTCACATGGTGTGATATTGTTCGCTTTGGGCCAAGCCCGCACGATTTCCCCTAAAAGGTCTCACACCATTAAGAGATTCCTAGACCTTATATGTAGACTCCTAATATTTCCAGCTTCCAACTTTGTTCGTAGACCCAACACACATACTAGCTCGTAAAAATAGCATGGGCTAGCCAGTTTTCGGACTGGTCATTCAAAAATAGCCAGCGTTTGCAAAGCCATTAAAAAATAGCCACTATTTTGCTACAACACAGAAAGTTCCACCATAATATACCGGAGATCGGTGCACCTGTGTATGAACTTCCAGCATATTATGCTGGAACTCCAACACGCGGGAAGTTCCAGTATAATATACTGGAGATTGGAGTACCGGTGCTCCAATTTTCAGTATATTATGCTGGACCGGTATATTATATTGGAACTCCAGTATATTATTCTGGAGTATTTTTCCGGATTTTGAACAATATTTTCGTTCAGATTTATCTTTACATGAAAAGTGGCTAAATTTCGATCACTTTTGAAACTGTGGCAATTTTTGAATAACCACTTGTAAATCTGACTATTTTTGAATTTCTCCCAGTCCCCCTTGTCTCTCTCTCAAAAAGCCCAAATTGCCTCTAATTATAGAGAAAATCTCACTTTATACCCATCAATTCCAAACTATTTATCCTTTAATGCCCAGGACCAAACTATTTACTACTCCTACCCATGCGCCCAAAACTATTTACCCGGTTATTAACTTTGTATAAATTCTTCCACAAGAATGAATCTGAAATACAGTGAAACAAAAAAAACCAAGAAATAGCAAAGAAAAAGGTATCCATGGATGCGGAAGAAGGAACACAACAACCCCAGCTAGTTCTTGCACACAAACTTTTCCTTGTGACACACCCAGATGTCAATGACTTGGATAAAGTTCGCCTCTGTGAAGAAGACTTGGACAAACTCTTCCATTTCCCATATATCCTTCTTCAAAAGAAATTAGATCTGATTATCTGAGAAGTTGACCTATGGCTAGTTTCAATTCGGCTCCACTTATTTTTTTTATTGTTCTTTCCCTAGTTCTTGCTCTTGCCTTGTCCCTTGAAATTAAAATTTTTATTTTGAAGATTTCTTGTTTGATTCAAAGTGAGTGTTGTTAAATATTGCTTATAGTACCTTCTGGAAGTTCATACTGAAATTTGATAGCATTTGGAGCTGATTTGAGGTGATTGAGATCGAATTTTTCAGTTGAAAATCGAAGAACACAGCTATAGTATATCGCTACGGTATACAATATGTTGTAGAAGTATATAGCTATATTGCAACAGTATACTATTATAGTTTACAATATATTGCAACAGTATATTGTAATAATCGAAGAAGAACACAGTTACCTAACAGTATACCGCTACAGTATACAATATACAATATGAGTATATAATTATATTGCAACAGTATACAATATATTGTTATAGTATACTGTAATAATATGCAATATACTGTAATAGTATACAATATACTATAATAGTATACTTATTACACGTAAATTCACTTTCCTTTTCCTTTTTAATTTGCTTTAAGCTTTTACCCAGCGTGAGGGGCAAATTGAAAATGTAAAAAAAAAAAAAAAATTTATAGTATGATATATAATGTAACGGTATATTCTTACAATTAGATCCTTTTTTAGAATTTTTTGAAATTTTTATTGACAACTGATATTATTTCAGTTTAATAATTGAATTAATTTTTTTAACTCTTTGCGTACAATTGTATACCCTGTTGGTATAGCTATATACTATACTAGTATCATATGTTAGTTCATATTTTTTGATTGTATTAACTACATTTAATTGGTACACAATTTGATTTTTCTTTAGATAATAGTATAAAAAAATAATAATAAAAAATAGTAAAAACAGTAAATGAAATTAGATTATGAAGAGAAAAAGAATATAAAAAACAGAAGTTAAATAAAATTATAAAAGGAAAAAAGAAAAAAAAAAGAAGAAGAAGAAACCGAGAAAAAAGAAAAGGAGAAAAGAAAAAAAAAAAAGAAAAGAATTGGAGAATAAAGAAAAAATTCTCCACAAAAATTACTATGGGCAGAAAATGTAATTAGTTTAGAAGAAATTACACTCTATGTCACTTGGCCCACTATCCTAACAAAATACGGCCCATATTTTCCCTTCTTACCCGGTATGGCCCAGTTCTATACTGTTGAATTTTTTTTTTTCACTGATTAGCCCTCGCCGCCCACACTCTTTTTTCAGACTTTCTCCCCACCCCACTTTCTCTTTCATTTTCAATCTCTTGCTCTTTCTCTGTCTCTTTCTCTCTCTCTGGCAAAATAGTCGAATTCTTCTTCAGATTTCCTTGCTCCGTTCATTATCTTCCTCTTCCACAAAATAATTTTGTGAACAATCCACACCGGATCTATCTTTTGTAGTCTTTTTCTTTTCTTTGAACTGGAGTTAGCAGCCAGTGGTTTGGGATGTTTTTCAGCTTCACTTGAGTCCAACCAACTGAGAGGATTGTGATTATAGACGGGCCAGTTGGGGATGGTGACAAGGCAGTAAAGACAACACCACCAGCATATGTTAACAGCATAGTCTGAAACGATCCCAACGTATAGCTTTCCTTTTTCTTCTTTTTTCTTCTTCTCACTTTAAATAACTTCTGAAGGGAGGAAGAATGATGTATATGTTGTATATACATACATATACTTTGTATAATCATGTATAACCATGTATATTTGTGGGTATTCTCATAGTTATACAGAATTATACATGATTATACACAATTATACAAGATTATACATAATTATACATGATTATATTTGTGTGTATAACAATGTATATAAGGTGTTTAATAATGTAAATTTTTATTTTTTCCAGTGAAATAAGAATTTCCCTTGCAAAACTTTAAATTTTACAAAAAAAATATAAAAATAAAATTATAGACTCTAAGGATGAATATATTTTTATTTTTTACTTCAACTTGCTGATATTGTTTACTATACAGAGGGAAGTAAAAAATAAATAAGAATGAAAATGAAAAAAGGGTAAAGATAAAAATGAAAGAAAAAAGTGAAATCTGATTTAGGCGTGATTTTGGGTGTAGTTGATGAAGTTGTGGGTTAGGCGCTGAAATTATTTGTGGGCTACCGCATGAAAACTGTATTTGTGGGTTAGGCGGCTGAAAAGTGCTTTCCCCAAGTGTACTTATGTGAAATTATCCCATTAGTTTATGGATAGAAAAACAAATGGGTAGACAAGGGGAAATAATTTTATTTTTATGGTAACTGTGTCAAAACCCCCTAATTATACCACTTACCTCCACCACTATTTGTGATCATAACAATCACGATATTAAAGACGAATTAAAATTCTCAAATTAAATAATTTTTAAATATAAAAACGAAAGTCACTAGTGACGTGTTTTCTTACAATATTTGCCTTGTCAAAGTACTATACAACGTCACTAGTGACGTGTCATAGTCAAAATCGAAACTAATTAGTCAAATAGCTTTCACATCTCTAGGACCAACCACCTACCTCATCATCCATTGGGGCTGTCAACGATCTCTATATATAGATACTATGTTAAGCATCTCAGTCTCTAAGTATTTGCAAAGTTAGCCGAAATCACAACAATGGCCAAAGAGGGAACAAAAGTGCCAAGAATCAAATTGGGTTCACAGGGGCTAGAAGTGTCAGCTCAAGGACTTGGTTGTATGGGTATGTCCGCTTTTTATGGGCCGCCCAAACCCGAACCCGATATGATCCAACTCATTCACCATGCTATCAATTCTGGTATCACTCTTCTTGATACTTCAGATGTTTATGGACCCCACACTAACGAAATCCTACTTGGCAAGGTACTATTTAAATTCTTTTATTTTTTTGATTTTAAGCTGTAGGATGGTTGTACCTAATGCTGAATGTGTTGTACGTTTTTTTTTCTTTTTAATTTTGGTAAAGGAGTTGTGTGATTGGTACTTCTGGTGTTTTGAGCTGTTCTATTTTCAGAATATCTTGGATTTATGCATTGATGATTGTACATACTGCCTGATATGTTGTACCTTGTGGTTTTGGTGTTTGAGCTGGAATAATTGCAACTTATGCAAAATGTGCTAGTTCATAAAGCTTAAAGACTCAAAATTTTCGTTTTGAGTTGATGCTACTTTTCAAATGTTTAAGCTTCTTGTGTTGGACCTTAGCAAGAGAGGTTCTTCAAACATTTTACTCTCTGTGTTTCAATTTATGTAACCTAGTTTCAACGAAACATAGTTTGACTGAGCACCGGGTTTAAGAAAGAAATTAAAAGTGTAGTCTTAAACATGGCCTATTTTTTTTTTTTTTTTGACTATAAAAGTATGCCATTAAATATAGTAAAATAAGAAGTTTGAAGTTAAATTACTTTCAAAAATAGAAAGGTATCAATTTTTCGGAACGAACTAATAAGGAAATAATGTCATACAAACTGGGTCGGAGGGAGTATATCTTGTGGGGTGTTATGGGAAAGGATGTTCTGGCTGCAGAGTGGTAGTATGCAGAGTGTATCCCAATTTTGATGTTTGTGCCATAAGCGAGAAATTCATTCTTAATGATGCTCAAAGTCTTAATACTTTAGGTGCTAAAATCTACCGAGATCAAGAAAACGGCGCTAGTAGCAAGAATTGAAGTAAAATAATAGAGATGACAGTAAATGGAAAACTCAGATATAGAGGGAAAGAGAGGGAGTCATTTCGTGGAAGCATCCTCTTGCAGAAATGTAGGGTAAGGTTGCGTACAATAGACTCTTGCGGTCCGGTCCTTCTCCAAACCCTGCGCATAGAGCAAGCTTATTGCACCGGACTTCCCTTTGTCCAGTCCAAGTTACAAAGCCTTGTTGTTACAAAGTTAGACAAGTAAAATAAGAGAGAGCTTTTCTAAGAGTAATGTAGTATGTTGCAGTGAGTAATAGATTTCATTTGCAACTTCTTACTTTCAAATCATAACTATCTTATGCGACTGAGAACATTTGTCCATTTTTGTAGAATTTCTGCAAGAATGGTTACCTAACTTGTGATAATTATACGAGTCTATGCAGGCGTTGAAGGGAGGGATGAGAGAACGCGTTGAGTTAGCAACAAAATTTGGAGCTATTTTTGCAGATGGAAAACTGAAAGTGTGCGGAGAGCCAGCCTATGTAAGGGCAGCATGCAAGGCTAGCTTAAAGCGACTTGATGTCGACTGCATTGACTTGTACTACCAGCACCGAATTGATACACGCGTGCCAATTGAAGTCACGGTTGGTTCTCTTTCGCCATTTATAACTCTGGAAACCGCAGGTTACCAACATTTTGTAATCTATTGATTGAGCATTAAATGATTGACTTGTTTGGAGACACTATATATTTGAATTCAATATCAAAATTTTATGAACACTTACGGCTCCAGTGCTGCATCAACCTACACCATCATTTTTGGAATTGATCTAGTTGTTGACATCCAATTTACCAATTATGTTGAGTGCTGTATTATTGAATGTTTTCACATATTTGTTCAAATGGATAATGATCAGCATTTTTTATTCTCCTGTTTTACTAGATTGGAGAACTTAAGAAGCTGGTTGCAGAGGGTAAAATAAAATATATAGGTCTATCCGAGGCGTCAGCATCGACCATTAGAAGAGCACATGCAGTTCATCCAATAACAGCAGTACAATTAGAATGGTCTCTATGGTCTAGAGATGTAGAGGAAGAAATAATCCCTACTTGCCGGTATATTCTTCTTTATGCTAGTTTTTCATGTTTGTGCGTGGTCTATAACTATGTGAGATCCTGATATTCGCGTTCCTGTTAATCTACCAGAGAACTCGGAATCGGGATTGTGGCATACAGTCCACTAGGACGGGGATTTTTGTCATCCGGTCCAAAGCTGCTTGAGAATTTGTCAAATCAAGATTTCCGAAAGGTTTGCTTGTATTAAGTGTTTGTTTTGGATTTCAGACATATTGCTCTCGTGTTTAATTGCATTGCATTCTGTTGCTACTATATTTTCTTGTTTGAGGAAAGAAATGGTTTTGATCACTAACCTATTTAATTTGGATGACATCGCTAGGGACTAAATGAATCTTCAATTTTGCAGCATCTCCCAAGATTCCAGGCTGATAATCTTGAGCATAACAAAATATTGTACGACAGGATTTGTCAAATGGCGGCAAAGAAGGGATGCACCCCGTCTCAACTGGCCTTGGCCTGGGTACACCACCAAGGGAACGACGTGTGTCCTATCCCGGGCACCACTAAGATTGAAAACTTGAACCAGAACATTGAAGCTCTCTCCATAAAGTTAACATCAGAAGATATGGTAGAGCTTGAGTCCATTGCTTCAGCTAATGCAGTCCAAGGTGATAGGTACGGTTCTGGGGCAAGTACTTACAAAGATTCAGACACTCCACCCCTTTCAGCATGGAAAGCTACAGAATGATGCACTTCCACAATTAGTGCCTCTGTTTGTCATGTTGAGTTGAGTTGTTCCTGTATTTTGCGCGCTGTATGTGCTGAAAAACTGCAATTATTTCTGTTTTAAACTGTTGTGCCACTTGTGACCTTATGATTATTCGTATAATAAAATGTGTGACTCTGTTTGCATACTCTTTACTATGGCGTAAAACACTAAATTATTATTGCCTTACCAAATATGTAAGATTCAATCTTTTTGTTAATTGGACAGAGTCAAGAATTTATGTTTTTAATAAGGGTCGAGTCTGGATAAACTTGTGCGTCCTTCGACTGATCCCTCGATTATTATTACCTTCTACTAGTACAAGTATTGGGTCAGTTTGTCCATTTATCAAGAAGAGAGCCCAAGACAAGGAATGCAGTTTCTAGATATATTTTATGGATGCAGGTTTATTTAACTTATATGTCAAATGTCTTTTTTTCTTTATTTTTAAACTTCGTGTCTAGTCAAATTCAGTCTGAACATCGATTGAGGGTTCAGGAATTTTCTAAATTGAATAACTCAGCAATTATTGAATAAGTAAACAGAGGAATTAACACTAGCACCCAACCGTTGAATATTGTTTTGCTCATGTGCTTGCATAATGGCTGGCTAGTGTTACTTATTTGACTCTTTTTAACATAACAAGTTATTGCATAATTGCCTTCTCTCTCCACAGCTTCATATAAACCTCTGCATCTTCGTCTTGCAGACAACCCCCCCCCCCCCCCCCCGACGTTTCTCTGTATTTAACATGCAAAAAGAGATTTTCTTAAACACATTAATGGATTCAGAGGGAAGAAAAGTGCCAAGAATGAAGCTGGGATCACAGGGTTTGGAAGTATCAGCTCAAGGACTCGGTTGCATGGGCATGTCAGCCTTTTATGGCCCGCCGAAACCTGAAGATGACATGATCAAGCTCATTCACCATGCCATTAACTCCGGCATCACTTTCCTCGATACTTCAGATGTATATGGACCTCACACCAATGAAATCCTCATCGGCAAGGCATGTTAGTTACCTCTTGAAATCGCAATTGCTTTATTTGTCATAGACCTTTCATTTTAATGTCTTAATGCATGTTTGTTGCTTGGTTGCTTTATTCTCACTGTTCCTTGAGCCGAAGGTCTATCGGAAAATAGCGTCTCTATCTTTATAAGGTAGGCGTAAAGTCTGCATACCCACTACCCTCCCCAGACCCCACTTATGGGATTACACTGGGTTTGTTGTTGTAATTTGAATACTAAGATAATTGAGACGAAAGTTCAGTTTTCCTGTTTTAAACATTTTATGGATACCCACAAGAGTATTGAATCCTTGTGTTTTTCCTAATTTGTGGCATTTCAACTGAGGGTATCAATTTGCAAGTAATCAAGTTATTCATAATGGTTCAATTCTCGTATCATCGTTTGGCATAACATAAGCAAGAAAGGTTGGTAATCTTGAGCGTGTGATATATACTGTGTCTACTTGTGATCGGAGGTGGATTTAGGATTTGAACTTATGAGTTCGAGTTCGTGAATATTCTACCACTATTCATTTAATTTACTGTAGTCGAAATCAATTATTTGTACTTATTTGGTGAATTGTTAACACATATACTGGTCGAGCCAAAGCTACTGGGTACGAATGAACCATAAGTTGAACACTACATCCACCCGGGGCGGATTTAGCCGGCGGAAAGGGTTCACCCGAATCCCCTTTGCCGAAAAATTACACTGTACCTATAAGGCAAAATCCATTCTGTGCGTCTATATATTATATTTTGATCTCCTTGCCATAGTCCAAAAGCATAGCTCAGTAGTCGAGGGGATTCAAACCCTTTCTGAGGTCGCTGGTTCAACTTCCACTTATCTGTCTTAGTAATCAGCATGAACATTTATCTGTCTTTATACTGATTTATAGATTTGTTGATTAACGTTCATATTATGACCATGGCAGGCTCTGAAAGAAGGGATGAGAGAAAGTGTTGAGTTGACAACAAAGTTTGGTATTAGTTCTGCAGATGGAAAAATAGAAATAATTGGAGATCCCTCGTATGTAAGGGCAGCATGCGAAGCCAGCTTAAAGAGACTTGATGTTGACTGCATTGATTTGTACTATCAACATCGGATTGATAAGCGTGTGCCAATTGAAATCACGGTCTGTCCTTTTTTACCATTGAATATTACTCACCAATTTTATAACGAGGTTACAAAGTAGTACTTATCATAGCGATTTATTTGTAGTAACCTTATAAGTGACCTTATTGTGTAAAGATTTCTTATACGATCGTGCATATAACTTAACTCTTAGTGATAAGAGGATAAGATGATTGACTTGATATGGTACAATGACTTTTTGTGGTTCATTTGGCAAACACAAAATATTGAAAATTTCAGAGTTATTTGGGCATTTTGTGAAGAAGGTAATCACAATGTTGCAAAATGATGTTCTCTTTCATTTTTCCAATTAAACTTATCAAGACGAACTTAAAAAGGGCAGCCCGATGCACTAAGATCCCGCTATGCGGGGGGACCAGGGAAGGGCCGGACCTTAAGGGTCTATTGTACACAGAAAGGGCTTACCCTACATTTATACAAGAGGCTGTTTCCACGGCTCGAACCCGTGACCTCCTGGTCACATGGCAGCAACTTTACTAGTTACGCTAAGGCTCCCCTTCCTTATCAAGACGAACTGATAGTAATAAAAGGATATATCATCCTATTCAGTAGTGTACATCAGTTTCTTCTGTATCTTTGTCCATCATGCTTGTCGTTCAAAATTTAGTATTCTTTTGATATTTGCTATTGTTTTTTTCAAAGATGGGAGAACTCAAGAAGCTGGTTGAAGAGGGTAAAATAAAATATATAGGTTTATCCGAGGCTTCAGCATCGACGATTAGAAGAGCACATGCAGTTCATCCAGTAACAGCAGTACAATTAGAATGGTCTCTATGGTCCAGAGATGTAGAGGAAGACGTAATCCCTACTTGCAGGTTTAACATTTATCCTGTTCCTTTTCATTTAGTATCTCAAAAAACATTAATTATAAGTCCTTAATGTAGCATTCGTCATGATTAAACTTAATTCTGTAGGGAGCTTGGAATTGGAATCGTAGCATACAGCCCCTTAGGAAAAGGATTTTTGTCATCTGGTCCAAAACTACTCGAGGATTTGTCGAATGAGGACTTTCGGAAGGTTAGCTGCATCCAGTTTTTTTTTATTATTTTTTTTTTATTTTTTTTATTATTATTATTTTTTATTTTTTATTTTTTAGTGTTACTTCTGCAGAAGATTTATATATTGAGAACGCAAAAGTTTGAGCTTTAAATTTGGTGTTGGTATCTCTAAGTTCTGTGCTTGATCAATCAAGGCCAATTCTATTTTTGTGGTTAGTTTCTATTTCAAAAGAAACTAACTAGTATTGAATTTGATACATATATTGATTTTACAGCATATACCAAGGTTTCAAGCCGAGAATCTTGAGCATAACAAGATCTTGTACGAGAGAATTTGCAAAATGGCAGAGAAGAAAGGATGTACGCCATCTCAACTAGCCTTGGCTTGGGTACATCACCAAGGAAATGATGTGTGCCCCATCCCAGGTATTAGATACGGATCCAGAATCTAAATTTGACGCGTTCAATCTTTATGTTCTTACAACTGAACCTATTATACTTTTGGAATTATACGCTCAGTTTTTCTTTTAATGTTAGTGATTTTTCAGATACATATCTATACTTCGTGTTAAAAATACTAAACAGTTGAACCTATGGAGTATTGGCAATGACACGTCCCTGCTGCCAGGTACCACTAAGACCGAAAACCTCAACCAGAACGTTGGATCTCTGTCGATTAAGTTAACAACAGAAGACATGGTGGAGCTTGAATCCATTGCTTCAGCTGATGCGGTCAAAGGTGAAAGAGATGCTTCTGGTGCAAATCACGAAAACTCTGATACTCCTTCCTTGTCAACATGGAAGGCTACAAGATAAGACTTTTGCGCACTTTCCACGTTACAATGTATTTGAAACATGTTCTTGTTGGAAATGGTAAACTTATTAAAGTATAAAAAAGTGTCTAGGCTCATTTGTACTTTTGAGTCATCCTAGAATGTTCATTAATCATTATTCATATAACTTGAAGTTTAAAGGTCGATACAACAACAACAACAATAACAACGTAATCCCACAGGTGGGGTCTGGGGGAAGTTTAAGGGTTGATAATAACCTTATATACATGATAGTGTATGTCCAAACAACGAAGTTTCATGTTCAGTAAATGCTTGTTATATTTTTTAAACTAAGTCCTTTCAATACAGAACTTCAAATATAAGAGTGTATAAGGTCTTTAGACTTGAAATTTCTACCTGTAAACCAAGTGTTGGTGGCATACTGGATATATGAGAAAACAAATCTCCTCTTTTTCATCATCATGTAATCTTTTTATTCTTATTCCCTTGTTCTTTTAGCGAAAATTGCAAATCACTAAATGATAGTACAAAACTTGAATATATCTTATGCAGAGACACATCCAGGATTTTGAGTTTTTGGGTTCTTGATTCTAAAAAAGACATCATACTAGTTCCAGATAAATTATTATAGTACATAACAAGTGGGACTTTTAATATAGAGTTTGAGCCAAAGCTATACTGTCGAACCTATAGCTATCACTGTAGCTCCGCCTCCTGATCCGTTGTACTATCAAATAGGATATGCGATAGCTCGCAAAGGACAGGCTTTGGCTAAAGTGATACCAAACTTCTCCTCCATGTCTAGTTCTTCTGGTTTAATGCCGCCTTCAGGTTTCCAATTGAAGGAATTCAAGAGTGAGCCTACCATTACTGGAACCATTCTCAATGCCGCCAGAGGTAAGCCAGGGCATATTCTTCGCCCAGCACCAAATGGAATCAATTCAAAATCTTTGCCTCGCACGTCCAATTCTGAACTCCAGAACCTCTCAGGTTTAAACACTAGTGGCTCCTCCCACAAAGCTGAGTCTCGACCGATTGTCCACACATTAACTAGTACCTGTGAGTAGGGGTGTCAAATTTAGCTCAAAAAATTTAACTTATCCAACTCGTCCAAATTTGGATGGTTTGACTGGGCATATATTAATTGGCGGGTTTATTTAGGCATAGCCCGAGTTAGCCATCTATAGTTTGGTCAATTCGGAACAATCGACCAACTAGGACAATCTATGTAGCCCAAATTAACCGATAAGGAAACTTATCAACACATTGAAAAAAAGAAGTTTTTCGCGTTTGGTTAGTTAAATGTAGTCATGATAATCAAAAGAAAAGCTTGTGTTAGTTTGGTCAGCTTATGACCCAATTAGCTTATTGATTCAACCCATTTTAACCCGCCCATTTGAATTAAAACCTTACCTGTGAGCCCTTCGGGACAATATAGCCACACACTTCAACATCGTCTTCTACTTTGCGCGGAAGTAAGAATGGAACTGGTGGGTGCATTCTTAAGGTTTCTTTGACAATACATTGCAAGTAAGAGAGTCGAGAAACATCATCTTCTTTTATTGGTTTTCCTTTTCCAACGACTTCCGCAAGCTCAGCTTGGACTTTCTTCATAATCTCAGGTTGTCTAAGTATTTCTGCCATTGCCCATTCCACTGTACTTGTCGTCGTATTAGTACCGCCAATAAATATGTCCTGAAACATTTTTCATAAATCCCATCAAATATGTCAATGCGAACCTAGTAAGAATTTCTTTTTTTTTTTTTTGTGTGTTAATTAGTTAGAGTATCATCTTAATTATTGAAACACTGGTAAAGTTGTTGCCAGGAAACAACCTCTTGCAGAAATGTAGGGTAATGTTGTGTACAATAGACCTTTGTGGTTCGGCCCTTCCTTGAACCCTCCGCTTAGCGGGAGCTTAGTGCAACGGGCTGCCCCTATCATGGGGTAGAGAGACTGTTTCCAATAGACCCTCGGCATCCTTCCCTCCAACCCCCCACCTTGCTCTGGGTTGTTGTTGTTGTTATGTAAAAAAGATTGTTATTGGAAATAGTCTCTCGACCTTCATTAGGTAGGGGTAAGGCATGCGTACTGATACGCGGCGCCTTCCTGAGATTCTTGGAAGGGCGACGTACGGCTAGGCAACTGATGTCAGTCCAGTTGCTGTCCGCCAACTGAGGTCCCCTCCGTACGCTAGACGAGATTGTCAGTGCCGTACGGGAAAACCAATGTCAAGAGCAATTGAGAGAACAAAAATGAGAATTCAGAATGAGAGAAAGCTTGATTGCATTAATGAAAGCTATTACAGAAAAGCAACGCGGTGTCGAGGGGGAGAGACACCAGTACTGAGAATTGCTTGCTTGCTAGAAAGTTTTGATTGCTTGATCCCCCCTAATAGTACTTAAAAAAAATAAACCAAAGTTACAGGAGTAGACCTAATTAAGCTAGAGAAACATAATGGAAGTACATGAAATAAACTACTCTATATTTACAATGAAAATGACTTAGTTTTCTATAAGGCAGCAGCAGGTCCGTTGTCAGCAGCAGTGTCTTTGGCATCACGGTCTGCGCGCGCGGCGCTGTTGGCTTCTGCCTGCGGCATGGCGCTCGCGAGGGATATCGGTGGGGCGACAGAGGCACCTGCGCGCTTGTCACTTGGCGCGGCCAGGACCACGGGGCCGTCCGTGGCGCTAGGCATTGGGAGGTTCGCTAGGACGCCACGGGGCGCGCCCAAGGGGTCATGGGGCATGGCTGGAAAGCCGCCCATGACAGTACACATGACTACCCTCCGCAGACCCAATTTGTGGGAATATACGGTTTTTTTTTTATTTTTTATTTTTTACGTAAATAAGATTGCAGTTTTTATATATATCGTATTATGTTAAATTCAAAAAGATGTCTTGAACTATGATAGTAAATTAAAACAACAACAACAACAACAACAACCCAGTAAAATTCCACAAGTGGTGTCTGGGGAGGGTAGAGTGTAGGCAGACCTTACCCCTTCCCGAAGGAGTAGAGAGGCAGTTTCCGAAGTACCCTCGGCTCAAGAAGACGAAAATAGACAATAGATCCATAACATCAACAGAAGCCAGAAAAAATAATATTAGCATCGTAACAGACCCAAAAAAATGGACAAACAATAATAATAACCAGTAATAATACCACGATAGTAAAAATAAAGTTGATGATAAAAGAGAAGCACAAACCAGGAGCAAGGAATTGATGTGATTCTGATCGATTTCTTCCGAATTTTCTTCTCTAATTTTAAGAAACACTTCCAAAACATCATTCTTTGTACTACTACTCCTCTTTTCCTCCAATCGCTCGTTGATCAAATCATCGAAAAGCACAAACAACTTACTTATATGAATGTCTGTGTTACGCCTAATTCGTTGAGGATCAATGTTTTCAAGTATGGGAAAAAAATCCACTAGGTTAGGCTTCCCAGCCTCGGCCAAGATGTTCCAAATCACGTCCTTCAACTCTACCTGTGATGAATCCATAAAAAGGGTCACAAACAATTATGCACTGTTTAGTACACAAAAAGAATGGGATTCTTGACGTAGCTGGTAAAGTTGTTGCCATGTGACGTGGAGGTCACGGGTTCAAGCCGTGGAAACAACCTCTTGCAGAAATGCAGGGTAAGGCCCCACGCATAGCAGGAGCTTAGTGAACCAGGCTGCCCTTTTTCAGTACACAAAAAATCGGGACGTCGCAATAACATTTCTCAGCTCTACCTTTGTATCAAAAAGAGGGTCAACCAAGTCCTTAGAGAAGAGAATATTGGACAACAAATTGAGAGAGGTCTTGAAAGCAGCTTTGCCAATGATCACAGCTTCACCTTCTTGACTACATTTTGCAACATAATCAACTAACTGTTGTACCTTTTGTGATCTTAAGTGTTGATCTGAATCAAGTTTAGTGAGAGAAAGGATGTTGGAGTTCAAGATTCGTCGAAGGGTTCGCCACGTCGGATTAACGGGGAGCCACGTCACTGAGAATTTGGAATAGTTGTGTGCTTGAAGTGCATTAGGGATAAATCTATTGGAAAATGCTTGATCTTGATTTTGAAGGACTTGTTTTGCCATGGTTGATGAAGAAATGACAATTGTGGTTATTTGCCCAAGTTTTAAACTCATAATTGGACCATAGGTTTTGGCAAGATTAGCTAGTGATATATGAGGTTTTGCACCTAATAAATGAAATAAATTTCCTATTATTGGCAGTTGTAATGGCCCTGGTGGAAGCCTTTTGTTTCTTTTTGATAGAAAAAGAAGAAAAATGCAAGCAAAATTTGATCCAAACACAAGTGTAAGGTAATCCATATTTCTCTCCTACTCACTCTCCTTCAAACTCTCTTATTAATGTAAGAGTTATTGGGAAGTTCACTACCGAAGAAGTGGCGGAGATATGATTTTAGTTTATAGGTTCTTGATTCTAGAAAAGACAGTTTACTAGGCAGTGGCGGACACACGTGATGGCATGCGGGTTCAACTGAACCCACTTCATCAAATAATAATAGTGTATATGTATAAGTTACGATTAATGCTGCGTAAATTTTGCATATATTTTATTTGAACCCACTTGACAACTACTATTTTACCACTAAATTAAGTTATGTACTTTTAAGATTGAACCCGCTTGCATAAAATCCTGGGTCCGCCACTGAATACAGGATTTGCAAAAGCTACTAAATTTACTGAACCCTAAGCAGAACTGTAGCTCCGGCCTTCGTTGTAGCTTGCCAAACTAGAAAATTCAAACACATCACTAAATGAAGGGTCCAAACACCACAAATTTTCTGCCTACTTTTCTTTTATTTGTACGACGAATTTTCTTTGAAGCAGAAGATATTGAATAGCTAATCAATGAGTTAATTTCACCTTGCTTTTTTTTTTCTTTTCTTATTGTATGTGGCATATAATTTCCAATTGTAAAATACTTATTAGTGTCTTACTTATTAATTAGTTGGGCAACAAATTAAACAGTCAACAGTTGTGAGCCGTTGAAACCAGAGGCGGATCCAGAATTTTAAGCTTATGGGTTCCAATAACAATCTCAAGTTAATCTACATGATAACTGGACCAACGAACTGGGTTCCAAGCTAAATATTCTTATACTTTTAATGAAGTTTTAGTACAAATACAGGGTCTATGCAAAAGTTACTGGGTTCCGTAAACCCGTAAACTTTGCTCTAGATCCGCCCCTGGTTGAAACATGGCCCCCGAAAGTCATTTTAATTACCGGATTAACACAATATAATTTTTCATCTATAAAAATTCAATTGAATCCCCTTCAACTTAGCTCCGCCCCGAGCACAATGTCCACAGTCGTAAAAAACATGTTTTACACGTGTGGGTGGGTGATCAAAGGATAGAATATAATTACCAAAAACCTTAAATTTGGACGTTGCTACATTCAGGGCCGGACATTAGGTGGACGAAGCGGTGTCACGCAATACTACTTCATCAGAAAATTTTATAAAGCATATGTAATTATACTGCGTCGAAACGAGTAACAAATATAAAATAACACCACTTGACATGTATCCTCGTTTGGCATGCTGGTTAAGTTCTTGGTTTTGCTTTAAGAGGTCGGACTAGAACATATTTTTGGAAAATATTTAAAGAGTCTCTTGTTAAAAATTATGGTTAAATAGAACTGAACTCGAGACCTTTTCTAACTTAGGACTCCACAAAATTAATGCACTAACACTATGTTTGGATCATTGTTACCCATTATTTTATAATGTATTATATTATACTGTATTGTATTATATTGTATCGTTTTATGGATATAACATTTGAATAGATTGTATCATTTGCTGTTGTTAAATAATATTTTTGTTGTTTGGTTTGATTGTATCGTACTGTACTGTAACTGATAAGTTCACTAAAATACCTTAATTATTTAAAATAAATTTATCAAGAATTTACATAAAAATATTTAAGACAACCCCTTTCTACTAATTTATCATTAATTACATAGCTTGGAAACAAGATCAAAAACCTGGAAAAAAAGGTTAACTAATATTAGCAACAAAAAAAAATGATAGAAAGAGACAAAGAATCGAACAGAGACTTGGATAAAAAGAACGGGGCAAACTAACTCTAGAAAAGAGGAAGAAGACAAGTAGGCCAATAGGTTGTAGATTTGGAGTTAAAATAAAAAAATTAAATGATAAAATAGAATTATAGAGTAATAAGTAAGGGCATAATTAGAGAAGAAAATAAGAAACGGTCCTACCACACCAAATCGGTTGTTTAATAAAATGGGGTTTTTGGTTGTTCCGGAACAATGGATTTAACAATACGATATAATTTATTTTAAATAAACAATCAAAACAAACATTATTTTGGAATAACAATACAATACGATACAATAGGTAACAACCATCCAAACAAGCTGTAAGACTATTAATCATTTAGAAATATGATAATTAATATTTTTATTTTACACTCTTATGTAAATATCGACACAGCTTACAAAAAGTTTTGCATATGACCCTGGCATATGACGAAACTGATATGCACAAAAAATCTCCTCCTCTGATCATCATAAATTTCTAATTTTTAATTTCCTTTTGTAATGTGACCAATCTATAATAATGAGGATTACCTGTATAGTCTTGCTACTTCATGAAAAAGTTTTGAATTTTTAATTAATTGTTTCCTATTCATAACTATAAATAAGAATTATAATTTCAACAATAATTATTAATATTGACATAATAGAAGTAAGTGGATCGATCAAGTTATCAATTTTAAAAAAAAGATCATTATTGGTGATCCCAATGACATACATATTAAATAAAAAATGTTATTTATTTATCCCTTGCTAAATGCAGGTCATTGCTTAATGATTTTGGAGGGCTACATATGTGCAACACATCTTAAAAAAAAGCGAACATTGTGGCCGATAAAAAGGCAGCTCGGTGCGCTAAGCTTCCACTATGCGCGGGATCCGTGAAAAGGCCGGACCACAAGGGTCTATTGTATGCAGCCTTATACATGTAGCCGATGTTTTATCTAAATTTGGTTGTAATTACGATGCTACTACTTTATTTTCCCACCTTTATTATGACTATTATGTTAATGACCCTTCAAATTAAGTACTAAGGATAAGGGATGGGATAGCTCGCAAAGGATATGCTTTGGCTAAGGTTATACCAAATTTCTCCTCCATGTTTAATTCTTGTGCCTCAATGCCAACTTCAAGCTTCCAATTAAAGGAATTCAAGAGTGAACCCAACATTACTTGGACCATTCTTAATGCTAATGGCAAGCCAGGGCAAATTCTTCGACCAGCACCAAATGGAATCAATTCAAAGTCTTTCCCACTCTTGTCAAAATCCAAGTTCCAAGACCTCTCGGGTCTAAACACTAAAGGGTCAAAAAAAGTGCTATTTTTTCAAAAAAAAAAAAAATGCTATTTTTTTCAAAGTTGAAGTGTTTGGTGAAGCTTTTAGAAGAAAAAAAGTGCTTTTGAATAGAAGCAGAAGCAGAAAAAAAGTAGTTTCTCTCCAGAAGCACTTTTTTGAAAAGCACTTTTGCGAAAATACACTTAGAAGCAGTTTTTACAGCTTGGTCAAACACTAAATTGTTGCTCATAAGTGTTTTTCAAATTAATTAGCCAAACACAAACTGCTTCTCACCATTGAAAAATGCACTTTTGAAAGAAAAAAAACACTTATCAAAATAAGCCGATTTTTGAAGCTTGGCCAAACAGGTTATAAGTCATCTAATAAGTTCCTGCCATTTTTTAGGTAACTCAAGGTCACTTTCACAAATTCGCGCTCTATATTCTTGGGGCTTGAAAATTTACAATTGAGTTCAAAATCATTGTTGATGATTTCGGTATAAGTCGATGTTTTTTTCCTTCTTTATGAAACCTACAATTCTCTTAACTGAGCAAGAATCACTATATATACAGTGTGATTCTTCCGAAAAAATTAAAGGGTTCATCCAAACCCACTTCCACCCTTCTAGATCCGCCCATGGGAGCAAGGTATTATTTAACAGGAAGTATTATCCCTAGAAAGATAAAACTATATAATACTGTAATTCCTAGTTGATTTTAATGATTTTATCTTGTTACCAAAAGGGTGAGGTATTTATTATATAATACTACTCCCCCCGTCTCATATTATCTGTCGTGCTTTCTAAAACTAGTTGTCTCAAATAATTTATCCTTTTAAAAGTACAAGACAAAATAAATTATATTTTCCCCATTTTACCCTTAATTACTGTGAGCACGTGATTTTTGCCTCGCATGAATTACTCCTACAGAATTCTTAGATTTAGGAGTTTTCTTTTAATTATTTGATTTTTAGGATTTAATTGCATAATTTTTGTGTGTGTTTGCATTTGTGTGTGCATGTTTAATTTAGATAATTCATAAAAATATAAAAATATTGCATTTGCATTTAGGATTTAATTATACATATTTTAGATTAATTAGTAATAAGAGTTTTACAAAAATACAAAAATCACAAAAATTGACTTTTAGCTTTGAATTTTGTTAGTTTTCTTTAATTTGTTTTAATTAATTGCATTAATCATCATTTAGGTTTAATTAGTATTAATTAGGTCCTAGGATTTAATTGCATTAATCATCATCCAAATTGTTGGGCCAGTACCAGCTACAATTCACCAACCCAGTTTAAATTACCCTTGAACCCGTCCAAAAAACCTTCAACCCAGCCCAAATTACCCAGTCCGGTCCAGCCCCCCACAACCCAAACGACGTCGCTTCGTGGGATTAGATCAGGACCGTCAAGGTTTCTTGATCGGACGGTCCTGAAGCTAGGCTGTCTAAGTATAAAAGTGTCTAAACGTGCCCCCCTACCCCTCTCGCCTCCCGTCTCTCACCCCCAAACCCTAGAGAAACCCTAGCAGCCATTGACTCCCCCACCGTCTCCGCCGTCTACTGCCGCCGGAAATCGTCCACGGCGGCGGCGAATCTCCAATCACATCTTCGCGGCACCCGGATGAATGGAATACCGCGAGCTATGGGCCTCCTCCAGAATCAACTCCCGAAGTCATCTACATTGGGCACACATATCCGGCCCTGCATCCTCAACACCCCATCATCACCGATAGTCACATCTCTGGCATCATCATGCTGAACTCTGTCCTTAAGGACAAGCAAATAAGGATCATCATACTGGCGCTCTCTGATGCGCTCATATAAGGAAGACCGAGAAATCACACAAGCCAATACCCTACTGGGCTCCGAAATGTCCAACCTCACGAACCGAATGGCCAAAGCCTGAACATCAACTGCAAGAGGTCTCTCCCCAATTGGAATATACGCCAAACTCCCCATACTCACCGCCTTTCAGCTCAAAGCATCGGCCACCACATTGGCCTTCCCCGAGGTGATACAAGATAGTAATGTCATAATCCTTAAGCAACTCCAACCGCCTCCGCTGCCTCAGATTGAGATCCTTCTGCTTGAACAAGTGCTGGAGGCTACGATGATCAGTATACACCTCACAAGAGACACCATACAAATAATGCCTCCAAATCTTCAACGCGTGAATAATGGAAGCCAACTCCAAATCATGAACAGGGTAGTTCTTCTCATGAGGCTTCAACTGGCGAGAAGCATAAGCAATAACTCTACCCTCCTGCATCAGAACACACCCAATACTAACTCTCGAAGCATCACAATACACGGTATAAGAACCTGAAGCTGATGGCAATACTAACACTTGAGCTGTGGTCAAGGCAGTCTTGAGCTTCTAAAAGCTCTCCTCACACTCATCAGACCACTGAAATGAAACCCCCTTCTGAGTCAACTTGGTCAAGGGCGATGCAATAGATGAAAATACCTGAACAAACCGGTGATAATAACCCGCCAAACCAAGAAAGCTACGAATCTCTGTAGCTGAGGACGGTCTGGGCCAACTCTGAACCACCTCTATCTTCTTCGGGTCAACCTGAATACCCTCGCTGGACACCACGTGCCCCAAGAAAGCCACTGAACTGAGCCAAAACTCACATTTGGAGAACTTTGCATAAAGCTTCTCCTCCCTCAATCTCTGCAACACCACTCTCAAATGCTCCACGTGCTCCTCTTGACTACGCGAGTATACCAGAATATTATCAATGAAGACTATGACAAACGAGTCGAGATACGGCCGGAATACGATGTTCGTCAAATGCATGAACGCTGCTGGGGCATTGGTCAGCCCGAAAGACATCACCAAGAACTCATAATGACCATATCGGGTCCTGAAAGTTGTCTTAAGAATATCTGAGTCCCTGATCTTCAACTGGTGATAACCTGAGCGGAGATCAATCTTGGAGAACACTCTCGCTCCCTGAAGCTGGTCGAACAAATCATCGATACGAGGAAAAGGATACTTGTTCTTAATTGTTACCTTGTTCAACTACCTGTAATCAATGCGCATTCTCATCGTGCCATCCTTCTTCTTCACAAAAAGAACTGGCGCACCCCACGGTGATACACTGGGACGAATAATCCCCTTGACAAGGAGCTCCTGAAACTACTCTTTTAACTCCTTTAACTCCGCTGGTTCCATACGAAATGTTGGAACCGAAATGGGCTGAGTGCCCAGCACCAGGTCAATACCAAAATCAATATCCCTCTCTGGTGGCATGCCCGGCAGGTCTGCAGGAAACACATCGGGAAAATCCCTCACAACTGGAACACACAAAGGCTAGATATGAAAGACAACCTTTGCCAACCATACGCTGGGCCTTCAAGAAAGAAATCATCCTACTGGGGACATAATCGGTCGAACCTCGCCACTCAATTCGTGGCACACCAGGC